AGTTAAAAAGTATTTCACAACCTATGATTTCCTCTTGGCAAACAACTTCAGTTCCAAACTGACTTATCACTAATAAAATGTAAGCCCTTAAAAAAAGAATGTGTCTATATACGCAGACAGTATTTTAGAGGAATCAATAATCTTTGAAGCAGCCTTAGTGTTTCCTTTACATTGACCTGGAAAGGACCATTGCATGAGCTTCGTGGGAAGGATTAGCCGGCTTCGTGGGCTAAGGCTAACATGGTGATCATCTGTCTAAGGCTAGAAGGGTACCAACATGATGTAAACCACAAGGAGAGGAGGAGGAGAGGAGGCCCTTCCCTGGCAGTTGGTAGCTAAAACTGAAGAGATTCTTAGAAAATGACACAATGGCAGCCTTTCTTGTCTTTTTCTTTCCGTGTTGGTTCTGGTGAAGGAGGACATTCCTGCTCTTGAAATTTCCTGTAAGACAGAAAACTAGATTAGCACTGCCTATCTGGTAATCTACCAAATGCACCTTATTTCTGGACAAGCTCTGTTTAAGTGTATGTGCTTTTCAATACTCAACTAAGGATCAAAGCAAATCTTTAAAAGACAAAACAAAAACAAACAAACAAAACCACACGAATGCTTCCAAACAAGCATAATCCGAGCCACCTGAGCTGAGTCGCCGCTGAGCCCTGATTCACAGGAGCTGCTGGGCGCAGCAGCCTCCATGTTCCCATCCCAGGCTGAAACTCCTTAACTCAAAGGTAGACTGAAGAATAAGTATCTGTCCACAGGGTATGGTATAAAATGAACCTTGAACGGCAAACATGCAGTTCTTATTCCCAACTGCAACTTATTAAGGCCAGTATTAAACAAGTTAGATGACCTTTCTGAGCCTTTTTAGAAAAAAAATAATAAAAACCTACCTTACACAGCTTTTATGAAAATTTAAGATCTTAATAGTGTTTAAATGTCTACTAGTGCCTAGGTTTAATACACACACACACACACTCTCTCCCCTCTCTCCTTTTCTCTCTCCCCCCTTTCCCTCTCCCC